ATGTACCAAATGTAAAATATGACCTTTGACACGCTAATTTTCCGAATCACACGAGAGCTCGCAAGGTGCTAGAAATGTTCTATTGTTATTTACCTGTGGTGTAAGTAATGGTAATCTAACATGCTGCATTAATTTAGCTAAATCTTTTTTTCTGCTACTTAAATCATGATTAACCCATGTAAGCATAGCATAATACATCATCTCTTCACTCGATATATTCAAGTCATCACTGGAAAATAATTCACATACTTCTTCTACGGATAATATATGGAATTCTTGATTTTGTGTCACTTCAACAAAATGTTCCTGTAATAAATAAAACAAAAATAGCAGAATTACATGCATAAAAAAAGCTTCCTAACACATCATGGAAAATTTATAGTAGTAGTTCTGATTTTAATATTGTCAATATCAGCTGCTGACAGATTTTATAGTGGGGCCAAGTAAATTTAATAGTGACATTGAAAATAAAAGTACAGTAGGTTGGTAGGAATAACTTTTTATTTGATAACTTTTTTATTTTATGAAAATTAAAAAATTATTCTCAATTAATTATTCTGCAGTGCTGCTTGGCCTATATGAGAGTATTTTTCATAATACAACACATCTTGCATGTACAGGTTGACATTTTGGTTCAAAGAATTTAAAGTAAAGTTGAAAGGTGTACCTAGAAGTGCCTATTTTTTAGTTTGGCCATAAAAAGGATACAGGGTCAGCATGAAAAGACAAGGTTGGGTTTATCAGAAACTCATTATTTTTATCCTGGGTGCTATCTCACTATTAATCTCCCTTACAATATTGCAAAGTTCCTAAGAACATTACCAGTAGTGTTTGTCTTGACTTCAGCACTTTCAATACCAGCAAGCCAACAATCCTTGAAGGATCATTTTCAAATGGGATTTACGGATTTCAATTCAAAAGTCAGATTTTGAGTGGTAGAATTGAGCAAAATATGAAAATGGTAAATTATTAAAACCTATATATATAGCTACGAATGTTCTATTCCAGAAAACAGTCAATTATTATTTGATCTCAAGCATACAATTGAAACACCTTTATAAAATAGTTTGGACTTTTGATATGCAAATAAGTATTGTTAATTTCCAATGGTTGAAGGGAAGTTATACATAATCACCACTGGTAATGTTCCTAGGAATATTACCCGTACAATGTTGCAAGGAACACTGACAGGAAAAAAGAAGTTACTGTAAAATACTTTATTTTCACTTGGAATTAATTTTCATTGAGAAAATGATTCAGTGAAAATAAAATCCAGCAACCGTCAATGGCTCCTTCGATATCTTCCAATTACTTAGTTAAAGCTGGGTAACGTCTCAGTTGGTACTTCATCTGCAAACAGTCAAAGTAAACATCTTTGTTTATACAAGACCCATATTTCACGTTTGTGTGGCGCATCGACCACCACCCATTAATTTCAGCTCTTGCTGTAAAACACTTACCGTTGTATAATTATTAGCAACTTTTAACAAATTGCTACATCCTTGGGTATCTGCAAACGAACGTATTCCAAGACAATTTGAGGGATGTAACTGTTTCATAAGAAAACCACAGCAAGCTTCAACTACCTCCGATAATTGTAATATACAAGCAGTAGATAATAAACTTTCTACAGTTTCTTCTTTTAAATCGAGTCGACCTGAAAAGAATGACAACATCATAATAACTGACATGAATTTAATAGCATTTAACGGTAATATTTTATAATGCCAGTAACTATGAATAATCAGGATGGTTCTACCTAGGTGTCTTCCCCAGATATTTTGAGAAAATATCTCAATGCACCAACATATCTGGTATATGTTTGCTTAAATTCGATTATCACATATTTCCATTTACTTATA